CATTGGGAAAACACATTTTCCCTGTACCTCACTGCTACAACATTGTGGACTATGGATTGTCTTAAGAGCATGCTAACATCCTTATTCTCTTTCTCTGATGGGCTAGCCATTAGCCATTATTTCATCTATGAAATTTGAAAACTCTTTAAGGAAACATCAGAAAAGTTTTAAGAATCTTATTTGGCAGTGATAAATGTTTATACCTATTCTGTTGGCACAGAATAAATGTTTAACTTCTCTTTGTGGTTTATTTTAGACTTTATCCCGCCAAAGATGTGTGGTGTTTTGGTACAGACACACTTCACACTATGTGGTGACTAAGTAAAGTCCTTACCTAAAGCTTGGAATCAGATTTTTATAAGTAGTTCTAATGAAAAACATTTTGAAATAAGCCTGGAAAAGAAATCTTATACTTATGAAAAAATTATTTTCAGGACACCACTTAAAAATTCAAATTAAGTCCTATTCACTTAAATATATTAAAATAAATCATAAAAAACAAAATCTAAAGGAATGATAATATATTTTGCAATGGTAGCTGCTTATTCAAAATGAGTGTCTGAGGGCACATTCCAATTTTATCCTCTTCAATTTGTGCAGCTCAGATAAATTTTTATTTTACTGAAAATATTTGCAAAATGACAATATAAATACATGATTATATTAAGATAGGATGACTATTTATAATGTATTCTTATCCATAGATATAAAATGAGTGCAGTAAATATAGTATACTCTCGATGAATTGTTAGTACACAGTGTTTCTTAGTAAAGTACATACAACCTATTATTAAGCAACAATTATTTAGTTTTCAAATGTACATCTCAGGAAAATTTTAGGATGAAAGGATACAATAAATCCCCCAATACTATTTGTGTTTGGTGAAAGTTAGTTCTTCTGCAAATTTTGAAATAATATATTTATCTCAGCAATTGTCCTTAGGCACTTTGCATTTCCTCAATTTGAAATTTTATTTCTTTAGTCTGGCTATTTTCTTAATGAAAAGCCAGCCATACTTTTAATTCTAATACAGACATATACTGTCTTTTCATTAGTCATTTAAACACATATCAACAATGAAATAGAATCATTCAAAAAAAAATTTGTCAGCACAAATTCCAAAAATTAACTTTTAGGGTATTACGGGGAGTCTCAACTAGACCTAGTCTCAACTGTACTATTAATCTGGGCTAGAAATAGTTTTGTTTTTTTTAATTGATTCTAGTCCTTAAAAATACAAATATGAACTCTACTTTAAAATTCTTTTTTAAATGTATTGGGCTTTGTTTCAAAAGCATCTTCTATCCTCCTTCTCCATTACATCAAGTTAATGGAAACTGGTTAGTACAGCAGTTCCAACACAAACATGTATGCATGCAAACGATCACCGTATAGATTCTAACTACATAGTAATTGAAACACATCCCACCCGTCAAGTGGCATAAATGTACATCTTTTATATACAAAAAGGTAAAGTGCATCATTAAATTAGTGAACTGACAGATTGTCTGCCTGGATCATATAGCTTTCAAATAGACAAATGTGAAATTCTCCCATTAGAACCAATTGTTTCAAAAGGTTCCAACTAGCTTTTCCACCCTGTCATTTACTTTTTGGCCATGCTCTTTAGTGCAAATAAGCTTGTGTTTGACTCAAGTTTTAAGGGACATGGCAATTTGGGGCTTTAACAAGAAAAATTATAAAATGTGGCAGAACATTAATACTTTTATAATACATTGCAATCTTTTGCATATAAGCAGCAGATTAGTGCTGCTTTCAATTGCTAGGAGCACACTGCCAACAATTATGAGGAACCCGTTTCCAAATTTCATACTATTAGCTTATATTACTACAGTTTGAGTCTGTACCACATTATGCTTGGGTTATTATGTGCAAACATCACCAGTGTTATACAATTGTACAGTGAACTAGTAATTTTGGTTACTAACTTTCATGCTTGTTTTTTTGACTAACATTCTCTTGCCTTAAGAGTTTAATGTCTTTAAGGCAAGGGATCCTGTTATTTTGAAGAATACCATGTACACTTGCAAGTCCATTTATGTCACAAGTGACAATAAATAAAACGTATATTGCACAGATAAGAATAGTAGCTTATTTTACAAGATACATGGCAATACATGTCCTAATACCAGAGTTTTGAACTGGATCTTATTTGATTATGGCTAATGATTGGGAATTTTAAGTATCAAAAAAATAGCATAATTTCATTTTTCAATGAATACATTAACTATGAAAAAAATGCAACAAAAGGACTGGCAGAAGGCTAATGATTCTAAAGCATATTCAGTTGCCAGTAATAGATGGTGATAGACATCTATTCAATCTGTAACTTTGAGATGGTAAAAACTTTGAAGTATACATACAATTAGAAAATTTGGCTGCTTAATTAATTCTTTACTTAAATATTAGTGCAAAATTAAACTAATAATATTTATATACAATAAATTAAAGATATTTATCTTTAAATCTGACATAGCATTGTGTGTATGTCTATATACATATACGTAACACATATATACATACACACATACGTATATATGTGTATGTATATACAGACACTCAAATCTTATCAGACTAAAAACCAAAAAAGAAATCATTTAGACTTAACGGATATAAATTTTTTAGAAGGGAAGGTTTTAAGAGAGAGTATATAGTCACAACAATAGTGATAGGAACACTCAAATACTGAAATATTCACAGCTCCAGCTTGCCAAACTCTGACAGGTTATTATTAATAGGCACTATGATGGGCAGCAATAACAATCAGTAGTACAATAATTCAAGTGCATACCACGCCTTCACATACCCAACATGACTTTTATCAAGCCTACAATAGTTACTTTACAGTTAGGACTGCTGAATACTTTTAGAGTCTAAATACCCACCATGTGCTATTTATTAACTCTAGAACTAACATTATCATCTAACCTTCAGTGATCCGCAGTGATCCAGATGGTCCACAAGTATACTGAACTAATGACATTCCTTCAGACTACTTGAGGAAATGTGAAATACAGTCTGCAAACCAAGCATAGATGCCTGGGTTACTGAATGTTTGTTTTTAAGTCACATAAACCAGTGAAATTAATGTTCTCAATTTATACCATAAAGCATCCTTAGTGATCTTCCTTAAATGTATTTGGGGACAAACCTCTGTAGGAAAAAAATTTGTTAAAATAACCTTGAGTTACTTATAGCATATAAAAGAAGAGCTATATTCTGATTTCAATCCATGCAGCCAGCTCTCATCAGTGAGAGCTATATTTGGGGGTTGAAATCAGTGTCTGGCCCTTAAACACGATAGTATGGACTTACTGTGTGGGAGGGGAATACAGCCGAGATAAAAGACAATCATTTCATTCAGAATAAAATGCAGCTCAACAGATAAAAATCAGTTAATACAGGGTGGGTTGGTACACGTATACACTATAACCAATTGTTTAAAAAATTGTGTAGGTGTTGAAAAATTGCTGTGGCACTTACTGGAAACTAATTTTTAATACATGTAAATGGGTAAGTCTTGTGTAAAGTAAACCTTTTTTAAGTATTAGAAAGAGCACCTTGGAAAATGCCTGAATTTTCCATTCAAATATATTTCTAACCAATCTTCAAATGATATTTTCCCCCAGGCTGAAAATTTACATTCTAAATGTTTTCTTTTTCTTTTTCTTCTTTTTTTTTTTTTTTTTTTTTTAGAAAAATCATTTTTCCCCTTTGGAATTAAAACACCTGTAAAAATCAGGTTTATACTGAAAGTGTTGACTCAGTTTTAAGGGTAGCAATTGCAAAAGTGCTACCAAAATATATTGTTACAGATATATTTTTGTATCAGCTAACGGGTGCACCAACCCCTCTGAAATAGTGTTAAAGAAGCAGCATAAAATATAACACCTTGAGCCCATGATATATTTTGGGGGAAAAAACCTCTCACAACCTTCAAATTAGCATGAAAAGCTAAAACAACAAAATGCCCATGGCAAAGCCATAAGATGACGCTTTCCCCTCAATAATGACATAAAAGTAATTCCTGAAACTTTGGAAAGTTAATAAAAAATCTATGATACAATAAAAAGCAGTGAAGATGGGATTCTAAGTAACTAACTTAGAATAACCAATTAAAACTCTCCAATGGCTTTGATATGGCAACTAAACTACAAAGTTACCACAGAATTCTAAATTATGGAATACTATAGTAACTCTAAGATTTTATTCTTTAATGGTTATCCAATGGGCATTAATATATTTCTACTTGTACTTTTATAAATAAATATATTTCTATTACCCTTGAGGTCAGTTTCTGTTCTGTGATAACTGTCCTAGAGTAAGTTTAGCAGCTTTTAAGGAAGAAGGAATGGGATACTTGGTTTTTTTGGAACTTGTTAAACAGTAATTCACACTTCCATATTAAATATATGTATCTTTTTTTTCAGGATTATGTCATAGTGCAATGTAAATCTTAGTTATGGTATTTAGAAGGTCAGAATGTCACATTTTTTGTGTGTGCTGATTTGCATAATTCAATCGTCTGGAGCAGAATGAAGCAGCTAAACTATTCAGCTCTGGGAAGGTGGGAATTCCCATGAGAACTATAGTGTTCTATGCATAACATAACATGAGAATCGGACTCCTTGAATTAGAAACTATAGAGAGGTATCACTAAGAACAAAGGGCCAAAAAAATTTTTTAAAAAAAGGAGAAAAAAACTTCTTCAAAGGATTACGGATCAGTACTTTGTTAGGCCAATGTATGATTAAAAAAAAATTTTTTTTTGCCTGATGGAGTTCACGCTTCACTTCTAGTCGAGGCATTCTTGCTCTTCCCCACTGGCCCTTCTGCCATCCACTTTCTTGTCCTTATGATGGCTGTTGCATATTTTCCTCATCTCTTCTTCGTACTTGATAAAATTCTCCCCGAACCTCGTCCACGCTTTGAAGGGAACCGTGATCGTGTTACGGTAAGGCGGCCTCACCTCACTTACCTTCAGGAAAATGCCATACTTATTAGAGCCCACATCAAAGTAGAACCTCTTATTGTCCACTCGGAAGGAGGTCCCCTCGGGGAGCTCCAGCGGGTCATCCTCGTCGTCCCCTCCTCCGCCGCCTCCTCTTCGCTCTTCCTCCATGTCCCCTTCGCCGTAGTCTTCGATGAGCTGGACCAGCGCATCGCGGAACTCGATCATCCCCTGGGCCGGGAGGACGATGGTCTGCTCCTGGCCCAGGCCGTGGTGGTGGCCGAAATAGCCCATCATGCCGGCCCCCCGCATCAGGGTCTGCCGGATCCTCAGGAAGCGGCCGCGCTGGTTCTCCTTGAGGTCCAGGTAATACTTGCGATTGTCCCTCTCGATGAAGTCCGTCTTGAGGACGCTGTGCGGATGCTCCTCCGACCCCACGGACGCGGGCGGGGAGGGCGCCGCGTGGTGGTGCAGGTGCTTCGGCCGCCGCCGCGAGCCCTGCTCCTTGCCCGCGGGGCCGGGCTCCGGCCGGGGGTGGCCCTTGAGGCCCAGGTGGGCGTAGTGCTCGATGAAGTCCCCCAGGCAGTCCTTGAGCTCCGCCGCCACCGACAGCGACAGGGTCAGCTTGCTCTTCCGGATGTTGTCCTGCCGGCCCCGCCCCACCCACACCTCGGCGATCTTGAGGAAGCGGCCCCGCGAGCTCTGCTTCACGTCCAGGTAGAACCTCTTCTTCTGGATGTCCACCCGCTTGGAGGCCAGCTCCTGGATCTCGGCCGCGGCCCCGGCCCCGGCCCCGGGCTGGTGAGAGGCGGCCAGCGCCGCGTAGTGCGGGTAGTGGGGGTGCTGGGCCTGGGGGTACAGTCTGGTCTTGCCGAGGCCCGAGCCCCCGCCTACGTGCTTGCCTCCGCGGCCACCGCGGCCGCCGCCGCCGCCGCCGCCTCCCCTGCGCCTGGCTCTTTCCATCTTCAGCTGCAAGTGACAAACAGACACACACACGGGGCGGGTGGGGGAAGGGTGTTGAGAACAATCGCAGGCGCCCCCCTCCTCCTCGGCCTGGGCTGCCCCCGCCTCCGCCTGGGACCCCCCATGTCCTCCCCACACTCAGGGCTGGGCTCCCAGGGCGCCCAGCCGGAGGGTCGGCGGCGGCGGCGGCGGCATCCCCGGGCGGCATCCCCGGTTCTGCACCGCGCGCAGCATCCCTCCGCCGGCCCTGGCCTCCCGGAGCTCCCCGCTCGCGGCCGGGCGCTGGGCTCGGGCTCGCCAGCCCCGGGCGGAGGGTGACGGGGGGAGGGGGGGTCCCCAGCCTGCAGACACTCACATCATCACCGCCATCACCGCCGTCGCCGCCGATGCCCTTCAGAACCGCCGCCGCCGCCAGCTCTCGGCCCCTCTGCAGCCGCCGCCGCCCCCCGCCTGCTCGCCCGCCGCCGCCGCCGCCGCCGCCGCCGATCGCACCGCCCCCCGCCGGAGCAGCGGGGCAGGGGCATCGCCCGCGGCGCCCACCGCCGCCGCCGCTGCCCCTCCTGCGGCCGCTGCGGGGGCCGCCGCCGCCGCCGCCGCCTGTCTCCGGGCACCGGCCCGACACGCACTGGGGAGGGGGGTGAGAGGCGGGGAGGGTGGCGGCGGGGGGCGGGCAGTGGACCCCGCCTCCTCCAGCACAGCTCGCTGATGGATGGGAAGAGGGGATCTCGCGTCCTCCCTTGGGGCGCGCCCCCCTGACGGAAGCCCAGCGAGCGGGGGCGAGGGCACGGGGCAGGTGGGAAGATGGTAATGAGGGCTGGGGTGGCCAGAGTATTCAGACGAGTCCAGGTGCTGCCGCCGGGATGCAGGATTCCCCGAGGCGCCGGGCACCCGCATAGGGACTACAGTTCCCAGAGTGCTCAGCGGCAGCGGCAGCCTCCGCGCAGGCGCACCGCCTCGCCAGCAGCGCGGTGATGGGCGGGCTGCCACCCCGCGGCGTGGCGTGGCGCGGCGCGGGGGCGGGGCGAGCTCCGGAGGAAGGGGTGGGTCTCCCAGCGCCCTGTGGAGTGTGCGCCTCGGCGCTCCAGCGTCGGATCCGAAGCGCTGGAATCAAGTGTTGAGTCGGTGCCTCTCCTGGATGCCATGGGTTCCAGGCCCTGCCGTTGTGGCGCTCCCCACGTCATCCAGCTGAAGAAGGCCCGTTGAACTGCTGCTTCCCCGGGTAACGTGTGCCCCCCGCCCCTGCCTTCGCCAGCTGCAGAAGCGGGGGGTAACTCCAGCCTGCTCCCACGCTGGAGGTGCTCGGTCCCGCAGAGCAGGCCTCTGTGAGGGGTGCGGGAGATTCCTCTGACACGGAATCTCGGTCCTCCTCCCCAGAGCCCCGGAAACAGCCCCGGCCGCCTGCAGGCCTTCCCAGAGCTGCAGGCGGTCAGATAGGGGGCGCTTCCCTGCCCCTCCAGCCGCCAGTTTGTGCAACTGGTGGCCCAGCTTGTGCAACTGGTGTCTTTTCCGTTCGGCCTTGACTGCTCTAGAAATTGAGCCACTCCACATTTATACAGCAAAGTCAAGAGAAATAACTTGTTATGTGTAATTGAGCGAAATTATGTTGGATATTTAAAAAATATATATATTTTACTGACTTTTTACAGAGAGGAAGAGAGAGGGATAGTTAGAAACATCCATGAGAGAGAATCATTGACCAGCTGCCTCTTGCACACCCCCTATTGGGGATGTGCCCGCAACCAAGGTATTATATATGCACTTAACTGGAATCGAACCCGGGACCCTTCAGTCCACAGGCTGATGCTCTATCCACTGAGCCAAACCGGTATCGGCTATGTTGGATTTTTTAAAGGTTGAAATCACCCAGTCTTTAATGTGTTTTTTAAATGTCTTTTTTTTTTTTCCAATTACATTTGACACACAGTATTACATACAATATTAGTTTCGGGTGTGCACCCCTGTGATTCTTTAACTTACTAATTGATCTTCACGATAAATCCAGTGGTCATCTGACACCATACATAGTTATTACAATGTAATGGGTTGTATTCCCTATACTGTGTTTTACATTCTCATTATGACTATTCTGTAACAACCAACCAATTTGTACCTTTTAATTCCTTTGATATTGGAGGAAGTCGGGGGTCCTTTTCTCCTCTGGGTTAGAGTTTTGCCAAGAGAGAACAATGAAGGCAGAGATGGGTTTCGAAGTGAAGGGAATATGAAGTAAATGGTTATAACTTTTTAATTTATAGTGGTCTAGGGCAGTGGTTGGCAAACTGCAGCTCTTTGGTCCCTTGAGTATGCTCTTCCACAAAACACCACATGCGGGCGTGTGAAGATTTGTGGCCCATGCACACAAGTCGGTTTTCGGCCTGGGTGAGTCTGTTTTGAAGAAGTGGCGTTAGAACACTCAAGGGGCCAAAGAGCCACATGTGGCTCGGGAGCCGCAGTTTGCCGACCACTGGTCTAGGGAAAGATGACTGGGTAAAGATGTAGTACATATTTGTAATGGAATATTACTTGGCCATAAAAAGAATTAAATTTTACCATTTGTGAAAACATGGGTGGACCTAGAGGGTATTATGCTAAGTGAAGTCAAACAGAGAAAGACAAATACCGGATAATTTCACTTACCAGTGGTATCTAAAGAACAAAATAAATGAACAAACAAAACAGAAACAAACTGATGGTTGCCAAAAGGGAGGAGGAAGTGGGGCTGGGTGAAAAAGGTAAAGTTCTGTCTAACACCTGAAACTAATAAAACAATATTGAATGTCAATTGTAATTGTGGAAACCCCCCCCCACACACACACACAAAATGGGTCAAGGAGGAAATAAAGACTATCCAGGGTGAGCAGAGTGAAAAGGTACTAGCATCATTGGAGTATCCGTAGGTCCCAGTTGGATCAAAAGATTGTTTGAGTTGAGTTTCTAGAGGGAATGAACTTGAAAAAAAGTAGATGATGATGATTGGAGGGTGAGATGCTTGGAACTGAGATTATGGAAGGATTCAGTCAATGATAGTGACGTGATATCCTCATGTGAACAGATGAGTGGAGCAAGGGGTAGGTAAGATTGTTGGAGGAGAGCTAGTCAGAAAACAGGGACACTCTCAAATATTGTGCACCAAAGGTTGTGACCCATTGGGTAAGTAAAAGGAGTAAAAAAACATAGGATATAGATATAAATGTCTATAATATTGATGGTGATGGCGATAATGGTAATGGTCCGTTAACACCCAAGTCAAAAACCATCAGCTTGATCTATACCTAACATTGGAAAGTTAGGTATTGAGTTATATGTGGTTACCTGGTAACTCATAGTCAACTCATATTCTTTGACAAAAGTGCTCTTGTAACAGTGGCAGGTGACATAAGGCTTCTTTTCTTTTTTCTTTTTATTTAAATATATTTTAATGAGAAAGGGAGAGTGATAGAGAGTTAGAAACATCAGTGAGAGAAACATTGATCAGCTGCCTCCTGCACACTTTCTACTGGGGATGTGCCCACAACCAAAGTACATGCCCTTGACCAGAATCAAACTTGGGACCTTTCAGTGTGCAGGCCGACGCTCTATCCACTGAGCCACACCGGTTAGGGCAAGACAGGCTGACACTGAGCCAAACCGGTTAGGGCAAGGCATCTTTTCTTAGTTGTCAGTTTGAAATTCTTCACCAAGTGCTTATCATAATGCAGCTTTCTTGGTTTCCTGGGTAGGCTTCTTTTTTGGCTTGCCTTATCTCTCAGGGTTGTGAAAAATTTATTGGTGAGAAGGCAAACAGTAATTCCTACTAATTTCATATCTAGGAATCTGTCTTATAGAAATAATAGTATGAATGTCTGAAGGCACAAACAAGGGTGTTCATTGAACATTATTTGTGATAAAATTTGCACTCAACCTGTCATCTGTAGGAAATAGTTAATATTCAATAGGGATATCAATATCAGTAGGGGTATAATATCAATACAGATAGATAAAGAAAATGGAATATTGTACAGGTTTCAGAAAATCAGATCAAGAATTGGCATTAAGTGTTACTCATCCCATTCTGCCATCAACAGGGATGTTTTCAGTGCAGTTAGTGGAAAAACCAAATTAAACTGGCGTTAGCAATAAAAAGGTTATTTATTAGTCTAGTTAATTGACACATCTGAGGTAGAGTAACCTTCAGGCAAGTTCAGAGTTCTGTTTTTCTGGCCTTGTGCTTGGCCCTCTTCCATGAAGAAGGCATGAAGGTCCTTTTCTTCAGGGTGTTTTCTTGTGTGGTTGTAAGATGACTGTGCACCAGCGCCCATGCTATATATTTCTTTCTTTATATCTAGCAGGAGCAAAAGCATTCTTTCCCTTGTAAGGAGAATCCCATTGGAAGAAGAATCCTGAGCTTTGCTGCAGATTACCTTGGATCTAGTAATTAGGGACAGGAAATGGAGAGGAGAAAACTGAGACTTGGGTTGAAGTTCTCATCCCTGAAACAGCCCTGTGGCAATGGGAACGTTATTTCCCTATTGGCTTTAAAACTATTGGGTTTAGTTCCTGGTACTGGTGTTGAGGTCATACTATTCAAAATGCCTTGCCATTAGGCCTTGAGGGTCTGAGGTGGAGGCTGCAAAATGAGTTTGTTACCTTTTTCCAAGTATTAAGGTGGTCAGCCTCTTTTTGCCCTTCTCATTCTTAATTTTATTAAAACAGAGAGACTCTGTTTATTCTAGCATCCCAAATTGGAAAACTATAAGTCACTTTACCTTCATGATTTACAGAGGCCCTTCAGATTACTCTCAGGTTGAAAAAAAGAGGTACGGGTAAACCGGGAGGGACAGAAAGGGGGGGAGAGGGAGAGGGAGAGAGAGAGGGAGAGAGGAAGAGAGGGAGAGAGGGAGAGAGGGAGAGAGGGAGAGAGGGAGAGAGGGAGAGAGGGAGAGAGGGAGAGGGTGAGAGGGAGAGAGAGAGAGAGAGAGAGAGAGAGAGAGAGAGAGAGAGAGAAAGAGAGAGGGAGAGGT